CAACGATGAGACAGCCTATAGGGAGGAGGTCAGAGACCTGGCCGTGTGGTTCCAGGATAACAACCTCTCCCTCAATGTGATGAAGACAAAGGCGATGATTGTGGACTACAGGAGAAGGAGGACCGAGCACGCCCCCATTCTCAACGACGGGGATGCAGTGGAGCAGGTTGAGAGCTTCAAGATCCTTGGTGTCCACATCACCAACAAACTATCATGGTCCAAACACAGCAAGACAGTCGTGAAGAGGGCACGACAAAGCCTGTTTCCCCTCAGGACACTGAAAAGATTTGGCATGGGTCCTCAGATCCTCAAAAAGTTCTACAGCTGCACCATCGAGAGCATCCTGACTGGTTGCATCACAGCCTGTTATGGCAACTGCTCGGCTTCCGACCGCAAGGCACTACAGAGAGTAGTGCGTACGGTCCGGTACATCACTGGGGCCAAGCTTCCTGCCATCCAGGACCTCTATACCAGGCGGTGCCAGTGGAAGGACCTAAAAATTGCCAAAGACTCCAGCCACCCTAGTCATAGAATGTTCTCTCTGCTACCGCATGGCAAGCGGTACCGGAGCGCCAATTTTAGGTCCAAATGGCTTCTTAACAGCTTCTACCCCAAGCCATAAGACTCCTGAACAGCTAATCAAAATGGCTACCCGGACTATTTGCATTATCTCTCCCCCTCCCCCCCCCTCCCCTCTTTTTACGCTGCTGCTACTCTCTGTTTATTATCTAGCATAGTCACTTTATCTCTACCCACATATACATATTACATCAATTACCTCAACTAACCTGTGCTCCCGCACATTGACTCTGTACCGGTACCTCCTGTATAAAGCCTCGCTACTGTTATTTTACTGCTGCGCTTTAACTATTATTATTTTTTATTTTTTTACTTAACATTTATTTTTCTTAACTGCATTGTTGGTTAAGGGCTTGTAATTAAGCATTTCACTGTAATGTCTACACCTGTTGTATTCGGCGCATGTGACAAATATAATCTGATTTGATTTGAAATGCCAAGCGTCACATCTGAAGGAAACCTGGCACCATCCCTACGGTGAAGAATGGTGGTGGCGGCATCATGCTGTGGGGATGTATTTCAGCGGCAGGGACTGGGAGTCAGGATCGAGGGAAAGATGAACGGAGCAGATTACAGAGAGATTCTTGATGAAAATCTGCTCCAGAGCGCTCAGGACCTCAGACTGGGGCAAAGTTTCACCTTCCAACAGGACATCAACCCTAAGCACACAGCCAAGACAACACAGTAGTGCCTTCGGGACAAGTCTCTGAATGTCCTTGAGTGGCCCAGCCAGAGCCCGGACTTGAACCCGATCGAACATCTCTGGAGAGACCTGAAAATAGCTGTGCAGCAACGCTCCCCATCCAACCTGACAGAGCTTGAGAGGATCTGCAGAGAAGAATGGGAGAAACTCCCCAAATACAGGTGTGCCAAGCTTGTAGCGTCATACCCAATAAGACTCGAGGCTGTAATCGCTGCCAAAGGTGCTTCAACAAAGTACTGAGTAAAGGGTCTGAATACTTATGTAAATGTGATATTTCCATTATTATTATTTTATACATTGCAAACATGTCTAAAAAACAGTATTTGCGTTGACATTATGGGGTATTGTGTGTAGATTGATGAGGGAAAAATATATATATATTAAATTACAGTGCCTTGCGAAAGTATTCACCCCCCTTGGCATTTTTCCTATTTTGTTGCCTTACAACCTGGAATTAAAATAGATTTTTCGGGGGTTTGTATAATTTGATTTACACAACATGCCTACCACTTTGAAGATGCAAAATATTTTTTGGGGTGAAACAAACAAGAAATAAGACAAAAAAACAGAACTTGAGCGTGCTTAACTATTCACCCCCCCAAAGTCAATACTTTGTAGAGCCACCTTTTGCATCAATTACAGCTGCAAGTCTCTTGGGGTATGTCTCTATAAGCTTGGCACATCTAGCCACTGGGATTTTTGCCCATTCTTCAAGGCAAAACTGCTCCAGCTCCTTCAAGTTGGATGGGTTCTTCTGGTGTACAGCAATCTGTAAGTCATACCACAGATTCTCAATTGGATTGAGGTCTGGGCTTTGACTAGCCCATTCCAAGACATTTAAATGTTTCCCCTTAAATCACTCAAGTGTTGCTTTAGCAGTATGCTTAGGGTCATTGTCCTGCTGGAAGGTGAACCTCCGTCCCAGTCTCAAATCTCTGGAAGACTGAAACAGGTTTCCCTCAAGAATTTACCTGTATTTAGCGCCATCCATCATTCCTTCAATTCTGACCAGTTTCCCAGTCCCTGCCGATAAAAAAAAACAACAACCCCACAGCATGATGCTGCCACCACCATGTGGGGATGGTGGATTTGCGCCAGACATAGGGTTTTCCTTGATTGCCAAAAATCTTAATTTTAGTCTCATCTGATCAGAGTACCTTCCTCCATATGTTTGGGGAGTCTCCCACATGCCTTTTGGCGAACACCAAACGTGTTTGCTTATTATTTTCTTTAAGCAATGGCTTTTTTTCTGGCCACTCTTCTGTAAAGCCCAGCTCTGTGGAGTGTACGGCTTAAAGTCGTCCTATGGACAGATACTCCAATCTCTGCTGTGGAGTTTTGCAGCTCCTTCAGGGTTATCTTTGGTCTCTTTGTTGCCTCTCTGATTAATGCCCTCCTTGCTTGGTCCGTGAGTTTTGGTGGGCGGCCCTCTCTTGGCAGGTTTGTTGTGGTTCCATATTCTTAAAATTTTTTAATAATGGATTTAATGGTGCTCCGTGGGATGTTCAAAGTTTCTGATATTTTTTAATAACCCAACCCTGATCTGTACTTCTCCACAACTTTGTCCCTGACGTGTTTGGAGAGCTACTTGGTCTTCATGGTGCCACTTGCTTGGTGGTGCCCCTTGCTTAGTGGTGTAGCAGACTCTGGGGTCTTTCAGAACAGGTGTATATACAGTGGGGAGAACAAGTATTTGATACACTGCCGATTTTTCAGGTTTTCCTACTTACAAAGCATGTAGAGGTCTGTAATTTTTATCATAGGTACACTTCAACTGTGAGAGACGGAATCTAAAACAAAAATCCAGAAAATCACATTGTATGATTTTTAAGTAATTAATTTGCATTTTATTGCATGACATAAGTATTTGATCACCTACCAACCAGTAAGAATTCCGGCTCTCACAGACCTGTTAGTTTTTCTTTAAGAAGCCCTCCTGTTCTCCACTCATTACCTGTATTAACTGCACCTGTTTGAACTCGTTACCTGTATAAAAGACACCTGTCCACACACTCAATCAAACAGACTCCAACCTCTCCACAATGGCCAAGACCAGAGAGCTGTGTAAGGACATCAGGGATACAATTGTAGACCTGCACAAGGCTGGGATGGGCTACAGGACAATAGGCAAGCAGCTTGGTGAGAAGGCAACAACTGTTGGCGCAATTATTAGAAAATGGAAGAAGTTCAAGATGACGGTCAATCTCCCTCGGTCTGGGGCTCCATGCAAGATCTCACCTTGTGGGGCATCAATGATCATGAGGAAGGTGAGGGATCAGCCCAGAACTACACGGCAGGACCTGGTCAATGACCTGAAGAGAGCTGGGACCACAGTCTCAAAGAAAACCATTAGCAACACACTACGCCGTCATGGATTAAAATCCTGCAGCGCACGCAAGGTCCCCCTGCTCAAGCCAGCGCATGTCCAGGCCCGTCTGAAGTTTGCCAATGACCATCTGGATGATCCAGAGGAGGAATGGGAGAAGGTCATGTGGTCTGATGAGACAAAAATAGAGCTTTTTGGTCTAAACTCCACTCGCCGTGTTTGGAGGAAGAAGAAGGATGAGTACAACCCCAAGAACACCATCCCAACCTTGAAGAATGGAGGTGGAAACATCATTCTTTGGGGATGCTTTTCTGCAAAGGGGACAGGACGACTGCACCGTATTGAGGGGAGGATGGATGGGGCCATGTATTGCGAGATCTTGGCCAACAACCTCCTTCCCTCAGTAAGAGCATTGAAGATGGGTTGTGGCTGGGTCTTCCAGCATGACAACGACCCGAAACACACAGCCAGGGCAACTAAGGAGTGGCTCCGTAAGAAGCATCTAAAGGTGCTGGAGTGGCCTAGCCAGTCTCCAGACCTGAACCCAATAGAACATCTTTGGAGGGAGCTGAAAGTCCGTATTGCCCAGTGACAGCCCCGAAACCTGAAGGATCTGGAGAAGGTCTGTATGGAGGAGTGGGCCAAAATCCCTGCTGCAGTGTGTGCAAACCTGGTCAAGACCTACAGGAAACGTATGATCTCTGTAATTGCAAATAAAGGTTTCTGTACCAAATATTAAGTTCTGCTTTTCTGATGTATCAAATACTTATGTCATGCAATAAAATGCAAATTAATTACTTAAAAATCATACAATGTGATTTTCTGGATTTCTGTTTTAGATTCCGTCTCTCACAGTTGAAGTGTACCTATGATAAAAATTACAGACCTCTACATGTTTTGTAAGTAGGAAAACCTGCGAAATCGGCAGTGTATCAAATACTTGTTCTCCCCACTGTATACTGAGATCATTTGATACTTAGATTGCACACAGGTGGACTTTATTTAACTAATTATGTGACTTTTGAAGGTAATTGGTTGCACCAGATCTTATTTAGTGGCTTCATAGCAAAGGGGGTGAATACATATGCACGCACATCTTTTCCGTAGTTTTTATTTATTTATTAATTGAAACAATTTTATTTTTTCATTTCACTTCACCAATTTGGACTATTTTGTGTATGTCCATTACATGAAATCCAAATAAAAATCAATTTAAATTACAGGTTTTAATGCAACAAAATAGGAAAAACGCCAAGGGGGATGAATACTTTTGCGAGGCACTGTATATATACACTGTTTGGACTTAGGCGACCCGAAAAATAGCCATCTGCAATGAACTGTGTAGGTTATAGCGATTCTAGTTAATGTTTGTCTCATGTTCAGCTTTACAAAGTTAAACTGTCGGCTTGTTATGTTACAGGCTTCAGGCTACAGAAAACCCAACACCACTTCCAACCAGAGGAAAAAGGCAGGTCCTAAACCAGACTTGACAGAGGAACAAAAGCAGGAGATCAGAGAGGCCTTTGACTTGTTTGATACAGATGGCTCGGGCACAATTGACGTGAAGGAACTCAAGGTAGGTTATACCATAGAATATGAACAGCGCACTCAGCTAGTCACCATAATGCCGTCCACTGTTTCAGAGTATGCTCTTTCTTGTATTGAATATAAACAATTACTTTATTTCTCCAGGTTGCCATGCGTGCCCTTGGCTTTGAACCAAAGAAAGAAGAGATCAAGAAGATGATTGCAGACATTGACAAGGAGGGCTCTGGGACCATTGATTTTAATGACTTTCTCTGTATGATGACACAGAAAATGGTATGTATTTTCTTAGTCGAGAAGAGATTACATATTTTGCAGATCTTTGGTTGAATTGGTCTCCCCTACATAATCTTGATAGACTTCGTTCGATTTTTTTACTCTTTTTTTGTTGTTGTTAAGAGTGAAAAAGACTCAAAAGAAGAAATTCTGAAGGCGTTCCGCTTATTTGATGATGACGGCACGGGCAAAATCTCCTTCAAAAATCTCAAGAGAGTTGCCAAGGAGCTAGGTGAAAACCTGACAGATGAGGAATTGCAGGTATGTTATATCCTAACTTGTAACCTGTTGATCTTCTGTTTCACCTCTAAACATATTCAATGCAGCAATCCTACTGTTAAAACAATGTATCTTTCAAAGGAAATGATTGACGAAGCAGACCGAGATGGAGATGGAGAGATCAATGAGCAGGAGTTTCTAAGGATAATGAAGAAGACAAGTCTATATTGAATGTCTTATGTTTCCCAACATTTTTTTTCCACTGCTGGAACGCTCTCGCTTATATGGCTTTGATCCTTTTAAGGGTACTTTATGATATAGCATTTAGTGGCCTTTCATATGGGTTGTAAATTATTTTAACAGCTCTAAACACAGATTGTATGATATTTGAGAAAGAATAAAACATATTGAATCATTTCAAATTTATCTTGACTTTTTCAATTAAATCATAGCTTTTATCTAAGTTATAGTCTCCTATTTACCATGGAAGTGAAATTATCATGTTTATTCAAGGACCCTTGCACCTAACAGTACTGTATGGCTATTTGGTTCCCTCTTGTGACACATAAAATGAAGTGCAGCTATAATTGTCTTGACTTACAGACTTACATGATTTTGCCTTTTTCTCAAGTTCAGTATATTTTTTGGTTACACCCTTCACATTATCTAGAGACAAACTCACTGCTCTGAACCAAATAAATCTAATGAATATATGCTAAGACTGGCTGAATGTGTTATGAGTCACTCTCGGATAACTCAATGCATGGTATAAGAAATGACTGGGTTGAATTTAAGATGACTAACTGTCAGTAAAAGTGATCACTTGGTGAGTCAGTAACCATAACTCATTTGATCTGGCTTATTCTGCCAATGCCATCCTGCTTCCTCATGTATTGACCGCATAACATCACATTGACTTTAACATTTACAGGGTCTTGGCCTTTTGACTTATGTAAACATTCAAGTCAAAAACACGGCAATAATATGAAACCCGAAACATGGACAACAAAGTTTGTATGACATGAATACAAGTATGGTAACACAGAGACGAGAGATGAGATGATCAGGAACGCAGATAAAGCATGACACGTAGGAGTCTAAGAAAATTTACCTTTCTGCTCTGCCCTAATAAACAGGATATAATGCTGACGTATATTTCCGAGCCTCGTAGAACTGTATTATTTTGAAGATGCTTCTTATCGTCAAACTTCTGATAACCTGATTGAGAGAGGGAGTCAGATGGAAAACATGAATCAAAGCAATTTATATTAAATGTGCCTAACATGGAATTGAATTAGAAAACATACAGTGCCTTCAGAAAGTATTCACACCCCTTGCCTTTTTCCACATTTTGTTGTGTTATAGCCTGAATATAACATTTATTAAATCAAGATTTTTTGGTCACTGGCCTACACACAATATGGGAAAAGGCTGTGATAGGAGAAAACTAAGGATGGATCAACAACGTTGTAGTTACTCCACAATATTAACCTAACTGACAGAGTGAAAATAACAAAGTCTGTACAGAATAAAAATATTCATAAACATGCATCCTGTTTATAACAAGGCACTAAAGTAATACTGCAAAAAATGTGGCAAAGTAATACATGTTTTGGTCCTGAATAGAAAGTGTTATGTTTGGAGCAAATCCAATACAACACAATACTGAGTACCACTCTCCATATTTTCAAGCATAGTGGTGGCTGCATCATGTTATGCGTATGCTTGTAATCGTTAAGGACCGGGGAGTTTTTCAGGATAAAAAAGAAACAGAATGGAGCTAAGCACAGGCAAAATCCTAGAGTAAAACCTGGTTCAGTCTGCTTTCCACTAGACACTGGGAGATGAATTCACCTTTCAGCAGGACAATAACCTAAAACACTGGAGTTGCTTAGTTACAGTTTTGACTGAAATCTACTTGAAAATCTATGGCAAGACGTGACAATGATTGTCTATCAATGATGAACAACCAATTTAACAGAGCTTGAATAATCTTGAAAATAATAATGGGCAAATGTTGCACAATCCAGGTGTGGAAAGCTCTTAGAGACTTACCCAGAAAGACTCACAGCTGTAATTGCTGCCAAAGATGCTTCCACAAAGTGAGATATTTATGTATTTCATATTTAATAAATTTGTAAAACTTTATAAAAATATGTTTTCACTTTGTCATTATGGAGTATTGTGTGTAGATGGGTGAGAAAAAATATATATTTCATCCATTTTGAATTCAGGCTGTAACACAACAAAATTTGGAATAAGTTGAGGGGTATGAATACTTTCTGAAGGCACTGTAGTATATCTGAGAAAATGTACCTAGCATCTAATTATATTTGTAATTACAGATGTGTATTAATCAAGTAACCTAAATGAATAACAAACCAGCAGAGAATATCACATTTTGAGAATAGGTCCATGAGTCAAATTAGTCAGTCCACTTTCTCAACTTGACCAAGGTGAGATTGAGAAAGGAAGCATCACTGTCTAGTGTTTAGTGAACAGTCACCATGCCCTCAGCCATATCTTGTTGTTATCCCATAAAAATGTCTAGTTAGTGGATAAATGGAGATATAGGTGTACTAGCTAGTATTAGACGGTAAAAATCTTGAAGCCAGCCTTTTAATGCCCCTGACAAGAAGCATTATAATGTCGATACACAAGACTGGTTGAATTCAGCCCCCCATTGAGCGTTATTCCCCTATTCTTGTGGTTGAAGATCTGTTCAGATCACTTGTCTTCATTTGTTGAAATACTCCCACACCTAGGCTGCTTTTGCTCTATTCCCATAAATCGACCAATTACCAAAGCTCTAATGCCCTTTCATCTTTGCTTGTAAAAGATGGTAGCCGTTGACTCCAAAGGTCAAGTATGTGTCATTGTTATGACTATTTAGAAGTTACCATTATTTAAACAGTGGTCTAAGCATAAGTTAAAATAAAAGAGATCACATTGGTCTTGGTAGAGGTTTACAAAGGTTGATTACGTTAATGGTATGTACGTCTTTATTATTGAAGTCTCTCATCCTGTTGAACCTCCTAGAGTAGCTGAATTAAGTATTTAAATAGAAAGTACTGAATGTGACATTCTTGAAGGCCACCAGGTCATTTTAATTTTAATGGCCACTTACAAGATCTGTATTAAGACATTGGAAATTTATCATTATTGGAAAATATTACATTTGCTGAATTAAAGTATTTAGAAACAGACCAGATTTGAAATTGTAAATCAGTAGAATTCAGTGTAGTTTGAGGTGTTTATCAAACCACTTTTGCAAGAGGTTTTACAATTATGAAATATTTTATTAATATTCATCTTTAATCAGTAAACGTTTATTTATCGGAGTATCATGTTTTATTTATTATTTATTTAACCTTTATTTAACCAGGAAAAGCCCACTGAGACCCAGACTCTCTTTTCCAAGGGAGACCTGGCCAAGAAGGCAGCAACAATCAATACATTACAGAATTAAAACATACAACAATACAATTCAACAACATGATCCAGCTTAAAAAAAGAATTTACACTCCTCTGTAAACGAGTCTCCCATTATGGATTTATGATGGATGTTGTTGCATCATGTTTTTTTTTACACTGTGTATGATGTTGTTTAAACAGTGTGAAGTTCACCCTTTCCTTTCATAATAAAAGGAAAGGAAAATCAGATTATAGTAAGTAAAGTGAAGCATAACAATTTTAGGACACACATGTTCATATGAAGAATCAATTAAACATAAATATTCTATACATGTAATTTATGAATGTTCAATTTAGGGTGAAAAGAAGTTGATCCTGTTGAGCATAAAGGAAAATAACAACATGTAAATAAAGTAAGCTGTAGTAGACTGTGTTACTTCTACTTATTCAAAGTAATACAATTTGTTTCAGGTCCCCAAAAAAATAACTTGATATGTTTGCCTTTTAGATTTGATCTAAGTCAAGCAAGCCTTCATCTTGATAACCTTTTTTGGGGCACTCATATGTACCTATTATGTCAATAAATGTTCCTGAGTATAATTTTACAGCAACAGATTGACAGTGTTACAACAATGGGTTGAACCAATGGTTCCCTTTTGATGTGGAGGACCAACAGAGGCGATCCCCCACCCACGGCATTTGTTCTTCCTGTATGAATACTTACCGTAATATTGTCAATTTGTTGTTCTGTTTTCTCATTTTGAATCATCCTAAAAGCAGGTACACCACCTTTAACCAACACAGTTCCAGATTGCATAGTCATATTATTTCATTTATCCAAATGTTTCAAACTGTGACCATGTTTTCTCTTTTCAGAATATTCATAACAAAATAAACAAATAAACAATTATGAGCCATCAATTTGGCTACATGCCCAGTATGTTGAGCGTTAACGTCAGCCCCTCCGGAAATGCTCATTAACACTTTACAGCGAGGAGACCACAGTGTAGGAAATATCAACACTTTAGGTGGGTGTACAGAGTATATCTGTCACAATCGAGTGTTTGTATTTCATGAATGATCATTATTTATAACATAATGAAACAGCCTGTCGTTGTCCAATGATGATATGATTAGCCAATATAACCGATATACATAAAAAAAAAGTACAATTGCAGTGAATTCCATTTAAACTTCAAATTTGGAAAGTTCGATTTTAGCTGTTTGATTTTACTCTGTTAAAGGTTGCTTAAATCTACCACAAACTCCTTTACTTAGTCTTTAGTTGATATAAAACTCTAACAATAAATTACATTTATTTACCATCGAAGGGTTGATTGTCAGGAAAGTGGTACGTAATATTTCTCAGTAGTAGGTCACTTATTTTATACCCTCCCTTCAGGGATAAAATTGTATACGTTTATTTGGACAGGGACATTGCACAACAAAATCATATGTCTCAGAAAACTGAGAAATGATGTGTTGCACCAGATCTAGCTAACTGCTCATTTCCATCTGTAGTCCCCAGGCAGATTACATCAAAGCATCTGATAATAACAGATTACAAAACATGTTCTCCCTTGAGCTAAAACCATACAGTCGTATTTTGAATTCATTTGTCATTTGTCAATGCACAGACATTATGATATTCTTTCGGTATTCATTTCAATAGAAATGGTACAGTGCATTCGGAAAGTATTCAGACCCCTTGACTTTTTCCACATTTTGTTACGTTAGAGCCTTATTTTAAAATTGATTAAATATATTTTTTCCCCTCATCACTCTACACACAATACCCCATAATGACAGAGCAAAGACGTTTTTTAAGAAAAAAAAACGTAAATATTACATTTACATAAGTATTCAGACCCTTTACTCAGTATTTTGTTGATGCACCTTTGGCAGCGATTACAGCCTTGAGTCTTCTTGGGTATGACGCTACAAGCTTGGCACATCTGTATTTGGGGAGTTGGATGGGGAGCGTCGCAGCACAGATACTTTCAGGTCTCTAGAGATGTTAGATCGGGTTCAAATCCAAGCTCTGGCTGGGCCACTCAAGGACATTCAGAGACTTGTCCCGAAGCCACTCCTGTGTTGTCTTCGCTGTGTGGAAGGTGAACCTTCACCCCCGTCTGAGGTCCTGAGCACTCTGGAGCAGGTTTTCATCAAGGATCTCTCTGTACTTTGCTCCGTTCATCTTTCCCTCAATCCCGACTAGTCTCCCAGTACATGCCGCTGCAAAATATCCCCACAGCATGATGCTGCCACCACCATGCTTCACCGTAGGGATGGTGCCAGGATG